GGGGGGGACATCAGGGAAGCAAGCACTGGACGAGCAGGATATGCCCCTCAATCCAGGACCAGTTCGCTGACATGCCGTCCTACAGGAAATCGAAACCTGGGTGACGGCCTTGGCCCGTTATGACAACAATGAATTCGACGACTCATTGGGCGAGTTCGACAAGATTGCCGACACATCCAAGATCCTTTTCAATATGGGCGTGATCCATGCGACTTTAGGAGAGCACGAGAAAGCTGTCCGTGCCGTCCCACCACAGCACCCCTTTTGGCCGTGCTTGCTAATACGTTGGTCCTAGGTTGAGTGCTACCAGCGCGCCATTCGACTCGACCAATACCTCGCCGTTGCCTACTTCCAACAAGGCGTCTCCAACTTTCTCCTCGGTGACTTCGAGGAGGCCTTGGCGAACTTCAACGACACCCTGCTTTATCTTCGAGGCAACACAATGATCGATTATGCGCAACTCGGTCTTCTTTTCAAGCTTTACTCTTGCGAAGTTCTCTTCAACCGGGGTCTCTGCTACATCTATCTCCAACAAAAGGATGCCGGCATGCAGGACCTGTCATATGCAGTAAAGGAGAAGGTCGTTGAGGATCATAATGTCATCGACGAGGCTATCAAGGAGGAGGCAGAGGTACGCAATCAGCAGGACTGGGTGTGAGGTCGTGAACTAACCTATGACAGGGCTATACAGTTTTCTCCATTCCTGTCGGCGTCGTCTACAGGCCGAATGAAGCCAAGGTCCGCAACCTGAAGACAAAAGACTATCTTGGCAAGGCTCGCCTCGTGGCCGCCTCTGATCGTGCCAATGCCTTCACTGGCTTTGCTGGCTCAGAGATGAAGACGGTAAGCTATGTCCCGCAGTTCATTCTGTCCTTGATCGTACTGACTTTGCGCCTGCAGCAACAAAGACAAGCCGTCAAGGACGATCGCCCAGCCGACAACATTTCCTATGCCGCTACGAACCTCATCAAGCCCGGCATCCAGTCCCGATCAACCGACAACAGTCGCAATGTCTTCCCACCCACGCCGCCACCGGACAATGACAGGGCCAGCGGTGGTAGTGGCGGCGGCAGCGGCGGCAGCGGAAACGGCAACGCGAGCGGCCAGATGACTCGAGGCCAGTCTGTTCGTAACGGGCCGAAGCCTCAACTCGCAAAGCTCAACATCGACACCTCAGGTGGTAACAACAGATACGAGAAGACATCAAGCCCACCAGAACGCCGACCCACCAACGCCACACGCTCCGCCAGCTCCACACCCGCTCGAGGTTACTCCCGGCGTGACCAGCAGCGCCGCAACATACGGGACGACGAGGAAGGTGGTGATGCCTATCCCGACGAGTTGTACGATATGTACCAGGGAGGTCGCAGCAGCCGGGGCCCTTCTCGTCGCCCGCAACAACAGCAGCGGTATATCGAGGAAGAGGACGAGGGGTCTGAGTACGATGACGGGTCCTTCGACGAGGGTGACTTTGAAATGGTCTCCAACAACCCACCTCGGCGCATGGGCACCAACTCAACATCGTCAGGCGGCCGTGGGGCGTCACGGAGGCCCGATGTCCGAAAGGTCCGCGTTAAGGTTCACGCTGAGGATGTGCGATACATCATGATCGGCACGGCGATAGAGTTCACCGATCTGGTTGACAGGATTCGTGATAAGTTTGGACTGCGCCGGCGATTCAAGATTACAGTCCGCGACGACGACGGTGGCCCGAACGGCGACATGATCACTATGGGCGATCAAGATGATCTTGAGATGGTCATCATGAGCTCCAAGGCTATTGCGAGGAGGACAAGGCAAGAGATTGGCAAGATGGAGGTATGTTTAAATCTCCATGAAGCAATGATGAGTACGACACTAACTCGACATGACAGATTTGGATCCAGGAGCTGTAGACGGACGATACCCAGCGCCGCCACGAGGCTGGCTGGTCGCACCACCGTTATCTTTTACGACGTAATGAAACAACTAAGCCCCACAGGGCATGCGAGCGAGAGAGAAAGAGCCACCTTAGAGCTGGCTCGATGGCATACGCAAGAAAGCTGCAATGAACTGTTCTTGACTTTTTCTTGGGATTGCATCCAACTGCATAGAATTGGGAAAAGAGGGGGGGGCGGGGAGGTGGGCGGAGCGGTGTTTTCCTGGACTGGACCAAGTGTCATGTGTTTCGGATGCAGGTGTGGTACTGTGAACGGATTTCGCCCCGATCATCGAGTGCGTGCGCGCGTGTGTGGTGCGAGGGATGTAGCTACCCGTAATAACTCGTACGTGTTGTTGTCGTGAAAGACGATTCTGTCCATTGTGCGGTTTTGAGGTGCGTGCTCCATGACGTGTTCCCCCGTGATGTGAAACGCACGGTGTTTTGTGATGGATGAGCGAGGCATCATGACCTCGTTGATCAATTGTGACGAAATGACGTTGAACCCGCGAGATTGCGGCAGTGCTCCCGTCAAGACATCTTATACTCTACAACAATGAACAGGCTATAATACAAGGTACAGGCCCACAGACACGCGACCGAACCCCCCCCCCCCCCTTTCACTGCCCACCGACCCAGCCGCCAGCCTGCTCCATCTAATGAGGACGCTGGTCCATCTAAGCAGCGCCGGCCCCTTGAAGCCTCAGCATGGCCTCTTCGGGCCCCAACACCGCAAGCTGCAGCTTGGCCGGCTTAGCCGGCCTCGTCCTGTCGCCCGTGAGAAGCAGGCGCAGACACTCGTAGACCCTCGTCCGCTCCTCAACCGGCTTGTTGGCGAGCAGCGCAGCGATGGCCTGTTGGATCGCATCCGGGGTCCAGCCGTCGCGGCCCTCTCCGTCTCGGGTCGCCAGGGGCGCCAGGGCCGTGGTCAGGGAGGCTGCTGCTTCGCGGAGCGTACCATCCACTGCTTCCGCGCCGGCCGGGCGGAAGAAGAGGGAAGGGTGGTTTGCGAGGAGCGACTGCGGGTCGATGGCCGTCTCTTTGGGGTCTGAGGCCAGGGTCTTGAGCAGGGAGAGGAGATAGGCCTGTTTCGACGCGAGGGGGGCGGAGGGGGCAAGGGCCGGGACGGGGCTCTCGAGGGTGGCGGAGGGGGTTTCGATCGCCTGGATGCTCTTCAGGAGAGGGTCGATGAGTGTTGTCGTGAGGCGAGCGTCGGAGGCCGGGGCGGTGCGCAGGAGGTGAGTAAGGTGGGCGCGCTGCAAGATGGGGAGCTTCTCGGGGTTGGTTTGCGTGTTGCCCTTTGTGAACTTGAGGGAGAACTGACAAGGGGTCAGAGTAAGGTTCCGGTGATGGGATATGAAAGGGGGGGGGGAGGGTCGCGAGTAGGCGAAACTTTACCTTCTTCGCGAGATCGTCCATGGACGGGAAGACGTCGCCCTTGGCGCTGGCATTCTTACTGGGACTCCATCCGAGGAGAGCGAGCCAGTTGTTCAGGGCTGAGGGGAGGATGCCCTGGTCGCGATACGCGCCAATGTCGATGTCGATGGTGCGGTTGCGCTTGCTGAGCTTCTCGCCGTTGGGCCCGCACAGGAGGCCGGCGTGAGCGAAGGTTGGGGGGGTCCATTTGAATGCGTCGTAGAGGGCGATGTGCTTGGGCGTCGAAATGAGCCATTCCTGGACGTTTGTCAACTATGCTCTTGATAACAAGTGTTGGCAAGACTAACAACACCACGGATGACGTGAGTGATCTCCATAAGATGGTCGTCCACGACGTTGGCGAAGTGGTACGTCGGGTAGCCGTCAGTCTTCATCAGTATGAAGTCGCTCTCGTCTTCATTCTTCTGGTATCGTCCGTACACGACATCCGTGAACGATGGGCGCCCTTCGCTCCTGAAGCGAATGACATGAGACTCTCCGTTGGCAGCACGCCGAGCTGCTTGGTCCGGTGGGACACTTCGACACGTGCCGGGATAGTTGACGAGGCTACCGCCGTCAAGGGTCTGCTGTTTGTGCCTCTCCAGTTCTTCGGCCGTGCAGAAGCACCGATATGCGTGTCCGGTTTCGATCAGACGTTCCGCGTGCTCGGTGTAGTGATGCAGGCGTTCAGACTGCCACGTGTTAGGGTGCAATCATACGCCCCGGCCATCATCGAGCGTACCTGTACGTATGGGCCAAACGGACCACCAATGTCAGGCCCTTCATCCCAGTCAAGCTCGGCCCATTTCAGATCTTTTAATAGACGGGGGAGAGCGTCTTCGACAAGCCTTGTCTAGTCATGATTAGCATGACGACTGGTCGTAGCGGAACATGCCCAGAACCAACCTGATCTGTGTCTTCAACTCGAATGAGAAATTGCCCTCCCGTTGCTCGAGCCAACAGCCAGTTGTATAGAGCTGTCCTCAACGATCCGAGATGCAGATAGCCCGTTGGCGAAGGGGCGAATCGTGTCCTTGCAGGTGTCTTTGGCAGTTCGTGCAGTATGTTGCTGCCTTTGGGTTGAAGCTTGCTCCTGAGAGTCTTCAGTCCTCCCTTGGGAACTGTTGAGTGTTGTCGGACCCATTGTGTCTTGCAACTCCTGCAAACGTACATCGATGAGCGGTAGCTCATCCTCCCAAAAGGACCCACTGCTGCAGACGACATTGCAGATGGTCATGATGCGAAGAAATGGTCCCCATCACAAGTCATATTGCATCGCGTCAGGGTGAACATGGGGAATTTTAGCATCTCCAGCCACACGTGGCTGCTCTTATCGGAAGTAGCCTTGTCCCGATAAGGTGAGGCAGCAGAACGGTGTCGCAAACTGCTGCCGCCCCCAGCCCGAATCCACCACTGACTGAGGTGAGGTGCTAGGTGCCTAGGTGGGGTTTGCGTACAGGTCCTGGATCGACCTACTGTAGACCGTAGCCGGGAGGCACCCCGCCGCCAGTCCCGCCAACCGTCAACTCCAAAAGTTTTCCTAGCGACTCCACCATCGAACTTGCAACGCCTGGCTAGATCTGCAATTTTGGGAGTGTATTTTCGTCCCAAAAATAACAGGTGGCACGGGTCTTTTCTAGTTCTTTGACAAGCCAGATCATTCACCATGGACTTTGGAGAAGAAGATCTCGACCTCTACGGTACGTTTCACAATGGCAGGAAATGGAGGTGGATCTTCTCTGACGCTTATCCAGGTCTCCTCGGTGTCGATAAGACTGCGACACCCGACCAGATCAAGAAGGCGTACCGCAAGGTCAGCAACAAAACAACATCACATGGAAGGAGAAGACAATTTAACAAACATGCAAACAGGCCGCTCTGCAACACCACCCTGACAAGGTCTCCGAAGACATCCGCGAAGAGTCCGAAGCAAAGTTCAAGTCCGTCACGCAAGCCTACGAGATCCTCCGCGATGAGGAGAAACGCCACATGTACGACACCCACGGCATGGCCGCCTTCGACGGACGAGGTGGTCCCGGCGGCCCGGAGGTCGACCTCAACGACATCCTGTCCCAGATGTTCGGCTTCGGCATGGGCGGCCCTGGCGGTCCTGGAGGCCCTGGCGGCGGTCCCCAGAGGCCGCGCCGCGGTCCCGATGAAGAGCAGGAATACAGGGTGTCCCTGGAGGAGCTGTACAAGGGCAAGACTGTCAAGTTCTCCGCCGACAAGCAGATCGTCTGCGGCACCTGCAAGGGCTCTGGCGCCAAGCCGAGCGTCAAGCCCACAAAGTGCGAAAAGTGCCAGGGCGCCGGCATGTCCGAGGCGTTCCAGCAGATTGGTCCCGGCATGGTGCGCCGCGCCACCGTCGTCTGCGACCGCTGCGAGGGCTCCGGCAACCAGATCAAGGAGAAGGACCGCTGCAAGAAGTGCAAGGGCAAGCGCACGACATCCGAGAAGAAGGTGCTTGAGATTTACATCCCGCGCGGCTCCATGAACGGCGAAAGGATCGTCATCGAGGGCGAGGCCGACCAGTTGCCGGACCAGACGCCTGGCGATATTGTTTTTGAGCTGGCCGAGGAGCCCCACGACGTCTTCACGCGCGAGGGTCACGATTTGTCTGCGGAGCTCAACATTACGCTGGGCGAGGCTCTTGGCGGGTTCTCCCGTGTTGTGCTGACGCACCTCGACGGCCGTGGCATCCACATTGACAGGCCTCGCGGCAAAATCATCCGCCCTGGCGACGTGCTGAAGGTGCCCGGCGAGGGCATGCCGATGAAGAAGGGCGAGCTGAAGGGTGATCTCTACCTGATTGCTAACGTTGAGTTCCCTGAGAACGACTGGCTGAAGGACGACAAGGAGCACGAGGCTCTGGCAAAACTGTTGCCTCCTGCTCCCGAGCTCATCAAGGCCGAGGAGGTTGACGATGTTGACTATGAGTCTGACGCGGACTTGGCAGAGGTAAGCTGAACCCTTTTGTGACGTTGGAACACTACTGATCAAGATCAACTAGATGGGCGCTCGTCACGGTGGCGGCGGCGGCGGACAGTGGGAGGATGTTGACGAAGACGAAGGCCAACCGCAGTGCCAGCAGCAGTAAATGATGGAGGAAGCTGAGAATTCATGGGGGATAGAAGTATAGCCATAGAAAAGGGGAGAGCTAGAAGGTAGGGCCTTCGGAGCTTGATGATGATTACGAAGGGATATTTGGCGTGGATAGATACATCATGAGATATGGATGGCAAGCAAGCCTTGTTGATATTGAGCGTGCTTTGTGTCATTGTCGCCTTTGTGTTGACTGTCGGAAGCCTCCGAAGTAGATGGCATGCGTTGCCAATCGACATAATAGCTTCATCGCAAATATCACCAGTTGACAGGGAGCGTGGTTGTCTTGTATCCGGGACTTATTCGATCAATCCGCACGACTAACACCCATCAAGGTCCAAGGACCCGCTATAGGAATGTGGATCTCGGAAATCGATGCCCACATCACAGAGCACACAATTCTGCTTCTGCTGCTGACTCATTGTCATGGGTCAAGGTCGGGTCTCCAGCTCATCACGTGCACCATCTCTAGGGCAGGCTCAAACCATTGGACCCCGGCCCACACACATTACCCAGGCGAACGAGGAAAACTTTTTGACATTGAATCCCACTTGCAGCCTCCACGAACTCCGACGTCAACTAACTCCCAGGGAAAACTGCCGTCAAGGTACGATACGACACCCACGACAACAACAATCTCACACTCGACGATCGTACTGACATTCTCAACAAGATGGTCGCCGCTAAGAAGCATGTTCCCATCGTGAAGAAGCGTAGGTTCCTCCTTGCCGACCGGCCTTGAACCCCCACCCCGACCGAGACGAAACGACCGCCACAAACGGATAATGTCGACGATGGAGGACGACTCTGTTGAAGGACTCTTGTTGACGGATTGTTGGAACAGGCACCAAGCGCTTCGAGCGCCACCAGAGCGACCGCTTCATGCGTGTCGACCCCTCTTGGCGCAAGCCCAAGGGTATCGACAACCGCGTTCGCCGTCGGTTCCGTGGTACCGCGCCCATGCCCTCGGTACGTTTCCATCACGACGACGGCCCGGAAAGAGACGAGAAAGGCTCTGTCTGGGAGGTCTTGCGAGAGGAAAGCCCACTGACGCAGAGTTTGAACGACAGATCGGCTATGGCTCCAACAAGAAGACCAAGTACATGATGCCCTCCGGCCACAAGGCATTCCTCGTCAACAACGTTTCCGACGTTGAGCTCCTCCTCATGCACAACCGCACCTTCGCCGCTGAGTACGTCCACACCGGACTCCAATTTCCGACGACGAAAATTCGGATTCTTCCCCACCTCCCAAGGTCGACCCAGACGTACTAACAAAAACCCCGCAGGATCGCGCACGGCGTCTCCTCCAGGAAGCGCATCGACATCATCTCCCGCGCCAAGCAACTCGGCGTCAAGGTCACCAACCCCAAGGCCAAGGTCACGACCGAGGTGTAAATGCAGCGACAAAAGGACGACGAATGATGGAAGGGGCTGGCATGATGACACTTGGGACAGGAGTGATTTTGGTCGATTGCGGATGGCTCTGTTCTCTCTCATATCCTGGAACTGGGCATGCATCGGAACAAACGGAATTCCCTTTTTCGCGAGTCTTCGGCTCTCTCTGTCCCTCCACCGCGACTGGCATGACGGATGTGTATCTGTGCACTTTTAGAGGGATCTCCAGACTTGGTGTGTTCCATGAGTCGGCCAGCAGTGGGAAGCTCTCCCTTTCGCCGACACTGGCGGCTACTCGCTGCTGCGCTCCCCACTGCCACGGTCAACTCTTCCACCATCGCACCGCTTTCTGCGTTGGCTAACAAATTCAGTCAAATCCATGTGCCGCCCCCTACTGACGACGTGTCCCAGCTCTGTTGATCGCAAGCCATGGCCTTCTTTCCCACATTCCCCCTTCCCACCCTTGACTACACTCTGAGATGTACCTGCTCTCCCGTGGTACAACCCAATTTTTGTCTCAAGGAAGATAGATGCTTCGGCAAGGCGCATCACTCACCGCGACTCCTTTTACCCTGTGGAGATCGAGGTCCGTATATCGTTGTCTACAACTCTGAATCGTATTACTATAGCTGTAATCGCTAGTTTGCTCTTCACCGAAATGGACTCCATTCCTTCTAACGTTTACCTCCTCGCTCAGCTTGGCTGTGTTTTGACACGACTTGGCTATTTCTTGCGTCTTTCCAGTTCATGTTGTGTCACCAAGAAACGAGTCGTGCATTGTTAAGAAATTGTATTAAGCTATTTGTGACGAGTCGGCATCTTTCCGAAACGCCAGTGATAACCATAACAGAGGCCAGGAACACAGACTGCCTCCGCAATGCCAAACTCCGTGCTCAGACCATAGTATCGTGGGTATCATTTCCCCACTGCCAATATCATAATCCTTGGATGTGAGGATTTTCGTGTCGTAAAAGTAGTTAGGTTGCTTGGTGCTTCGAAGGGTGCGAGGGACCTGGCGATAGGTCAACCTCAAGGAGACGCTGACGCCGTGACTCCTGCGCAACGGTCTCTATTTGAAGCAGTTGAAACGACCGATGCGGAAGCGCCAGGGGCCGCGACGCACACCGTGACGGTCGGCCTGGATGCTGGTACCGAAGCGGCGGCCGCCGACGGACTTGTTGTAGAAGAAGGGCATGTTGAGGATGGGTAGGTAGGTTTCTGTAGCAAGGTTAGTGTGCTACTTGGGGCAAGTAGATTTCGCGACGGTTGCGTACTTGATGTGTTTAGATCAAAGGTACAGCTAAGCTTTGTAAAGGACTTGGCTTGAATGGGGGCATTAACAAACGTGGTCGTAGGTTCGTTGCCTTTTTAAAGAAATCTCCCATCCACCCAAAAGCAGTCGCGTCACACCATGTCAATCATGCTTAACGTTCTGACGTCCATCCTTCCCTCCACTCTGTAACCGCTGCCAAGGATCGTGCACAGCAGGTTGGGAAGGTGCGCGATGACGTAGATCTACTGTGGCGTGGCCGGGGCTGTGCGGCTGTGTAAATTGGCTCTCGGTCAATGGGAGCATCTCAACCACGTTGTGGCCCGACGGTGACGAAGACGCCAGCCACTCGACACCACCAGCTCTACCATTTCGTTCGGGTTATTCTTGAGCTAATGTTTATGCTTGTTGTGCAAGCGATCTTAGCGGGAGGCCTTTGTGGCGATGGCTACCACGATCACCAATTTGATCTGGTCTCGATCGCCCGATCAGGAACCCCTCCCTCTCTCCAGCTGGACGCTAACAAGCAGGCTCGCCGAATCATCGACAAAGACCGCCCTACCCAGAGAGTATCGCTATTTGATCATTCACCGCCGACAGCGAGAACAAGTGGCCTTCCTGGTAGAGCAAGTCGGGTGGGGGGTCACCCAATCGCCTGCACTTGGGGTCAGATAGGCAGGACAGGAAGCTTCAATCCAATCCAAAACGCCCCCCAACCCGAATCCTGCTTTTTTCTTGGCCCTTCGAGCCGACAAGGGTTCCTCTTTGGTGACGGCCCAGTACATTAGCCCCCAGGAGCTTTTCTGCGGAGATCGACAACAGACCGTCGATCAATGCGTGTTCGTGCCAGCAGCGAGAAAGCACCGAAAATGTGCTGCATCACTGTCTTGCAATGCTGCGGGCGGATTCGGGTATCTGCCTGGTCGCTGCTCATCTCCAGTGAGGCAGACGGTTCGAAGGGACGGTCGTTGGAACGGTGACCTATCCGCGAGCCGAAATTCGGCGATCTTGGTCCATTGTCTCATAGTTTTGGTTGAGCCTGTTCAGCAACCCTCGTGAGCATCTGCATCTTCAGACGACACCGCCATCTGTCGTGCAGAATGACTCTTGCGATGTGACCTGGTGTGCCAGCCCATGCATGAATCTTGGTAGGGTTTGTTTTGCTTTTCGCAGTATGCAACCAGGCCAGCGCCGTGAGCCTCGAGGTGCCATCCCGAGCAAACTGGCGATATCGTTTTCATGATCCACCACGGCTGTCTTGCCGCATTCCATATCGGACGTCTGGGAGGTTACCCCGCCAAACCCTCCACCCAAGGGAGTGATGGAATGCGAATGCCGTCTCCCCGGTTGCCAGATGACCTGATTGATGCCTCACCTTATGCTGTCGCACTTTTCTTTTCGACTTATAAGTCAAGTATGGATCTCTTGCTGGGATGGACCGAGTCTTAATCTACACCTACAAGTAGCAGTGTCGCGCCGTTCCTTGTCCGGAGTCATCAGAACAAAAGACAACGCAGGCATATCTATTGTTTCTTGTTATTCGATACTATTATAAGACGGCAGCATCCTTCAACAAGGCAAATCACCAGATCTCACAATGAATCCTACTCAGCAGAAACCCCGCGTCGCCAAGCGAGCCATCCCCTGCATCGGCCTCTTCATGGCCCGCCGCTCAAAACCAACCACCCCGACAATCACAGTCACCAACGACCAGGAAGAGCTTGTCCTCTCCAAAACGGCAACCCGCAAACCAACCTCCCGCCTCCGCTGCGCCCTCGCCCGTCCCTTTGTCTCGCTGCGCCGCAGATGGGGCACCTTCCGAGACCGCCGCGCCGACCGCCGCGAGCAGCGTCTCCTGCAGGACCACGGCGGCGTCGAGGAGGAGATTGACGAAGAGTTCAAGGACGCCGCGTCCGTCGAAGCGCCCGACGTCCCGCAGCAGCGCGAGGCCCAGGGTAGCGTCCGGGCTCCGCCGGGCAAGTACGTCCTCGAGCTCGATTTTAGCCACATCAAGGAGATGGAGACGGCGAGCTGGCTGCGTGAAAGGAGGCCGGAGACGCCCGCCGCCAGGAAGATGGGGCCCGCCTTCAGCTTCAGGAGGCCGATGACTTCGAGGGGGGCGAGGCCGATGTACTGAGGGAGAGAGGGCAGAGAGATACATGTTTACAAGGCGTTTTGGGGGGCGGACTGCGGATCATTGCAACGTGTGCGGTTTATGGTATTTTTAATTGACATTTTTGCTTTGGCGTCATGTTTGATGGCCGTCATGAGCGGTTTGTCCACTGCTGCATGAGAGCCATGATGCCGTTCCAGCATATTGCCATGTTTGTTCCTCGCCAGTTGAACTGCCCGAGATATGTGGCCGACTATCTTGGCCTGCGTGCATGTCTCGAAGAAGTGACTCACTTTGAGACGTGTTACTCCATTGCGTTCGATAATGAGATTCGACTAACACCAGTACCATCTTTTGACCATTGATTCGTACATGACCGAAATACCGTACTCCCTAGACCTGCCCGTTGTCATACAGGTGAAAGTAATTCCACAACGGCATATGCATCACCAGGCTCGTACAATTTTTCGCCAAACCCAGAAAATTGTCTCACACGCATTGTGAATCCATATTCACAAAAGCTGCAACGGCCACTTCTTGTTAATCCAAAAAAGTAACAAACACCTGGAAAAGTCACTGATTCAGTCATGCAAGGCGATACTTACTGCGTGGGAGTCTGCCCACGTTTGAACGAACTGCCATGCCTCGACATCATGCCTCAAATTCGGTAAACCTCTCAGCCCACTGATATGCACATCACACATCAAGTACGCAAATTAGCAATTAATCGGCTTCATGTCGAAGATAAACCAATTGGCCGCAGATATCCAGCAGCAAGCTGTCGTCCGTTGACGTCCTCCTCTCGGGCTCGCCGTACTCTGCGTCCGAGCTCACCGCATTGGGCGTGCCAACTTTGACCCGCGGCCGCCAATGAATCTGATAATGAGCATCCAGATAGGAGAGAGCCTGCTCCGCGAGCACGCGGAAAGTTCCATTGTCTGCTTCCTCATGCTCACCAGCTCCGGGGGTGGAACATCATGACATAATCGGGGCATTTCGTTGCCATCGAGGCAGCCGGACGTGAGACGGACCCTGAAGATGCCGTCTAGCCGTTGGCTGCGACAAAGTCTGACACTGTAGATATGTAGCCGTGAAGCGACTTTCCACGATGCCGGGATTGATCCTCCAGATCTCAGCACCCCCCCTTCTCGTCATCATGTTTCTTAGCGGAGAGAAACATACACTCGATGCCTCACAACACGCTGGCTGCGTACTTCCTGACTGAGAGAGGATAGCCACAGCATAGCTCTGTTCAGGCGAGAAGATGCGATCAAGAGTTACGCCCGACGTCCGTTATATTTGTCCGTGACAGTGATTGCCGAAGTGCCCGGCTCAAAAAGGTGCATCCGAAGACGCGAGCAGATGAAGTCGACAGCCCTCCTAAAGGTTGAACCTTCCTCCGATCTAGTCTACATGAAATGCAACGGATGGCTACTTGTGTTTGTGAACACTTCCATGGGGTCTGTCAACTCCTAGCTGGAGGTTTGCGCACCGCTGCGCCTGATGACATTCGACCATCACCTAACGGCTGACTTGCTGGCACAGACTTATCCTTCAGCAGCCAGCCAATCTAGTGAGGTGGAGGGACCTGAACGACGACCGGGACCGCGGCCTGCCAGCACGAAGAGAGTTCCATGCTGTACAAGAGTACAAGTAGAACAAAGTGCATTCTACATTGGTATCTATGCTTTCAAACAATCTAACATGCAATATTTTATGCCGCACACACATGCAGTACCTCCACTATGCAAACCATCCGCCACGTCGAACATTGGTTCAAATGCTCAAAAATCAAGCAAACGCAATCACAGCCGCCGCCAGGGCGACCAGAACGGTGAAGCTCGCGCCGGTGACCCGGCCGGCGGCATTGTCTGAATCATCACCGTTCGAGGAGCCGCCGTTGCCGTTACCGTTGCCGTTGCCGTTGCCGCCGCCACCATTGCTCCTTCCGTTACCGCCGCCGCCGGGACCCGTAGGAGGACTGTCCGAGATATCACCGGGGCCGGGGGTCCATGTGAACTTAGAGACGTAGTCTTGCGAGAACGCCGGGGCCGAGTCACCGATTGTGTTGTCGCTGTTGGTCGTCGACCCTGACACGCAGGAGGCGCCGTCCCACTTGACATCCGAAACGGCCTCCCAGAGGTTGGTAAGATTGGTCAGAGTCTCCCACGTGTAGAAGAGACGACAGTTGGCGGCCTCGTAGACAAACTGCAGCGGCGCCGCATCGTCGTCGTCGTGGAGGTGAACGTTGGCGGAGTTGACGACGATCATCTCAGGCGGAGGACCTGCCAGCGGCGGACCAACCTCCGAGAAGGGCGCTGTCCTCAGGTCTGATGGGGGTCGCTCTTCGGAAGCGATATCCGGGAAGATGGCCTTGCCCCAGTCAAGAGTCAGGATGGGCCCACCTTTGGTGCCGCCGACCGCCTGCATAGGACGCTCGTTGGGTCGGCCACCGAGGGTGACGACGTGGATGCCGAGGAGGCGCGACATGAGACCTACAGCGAGCGCGCACGCTGAAGCACAGAAACCGTCTGTCAAAATTACAGTGTTGTTGGCAGTGAAGTGCTCGGGGAGGCTACTGAACTGGCGGAAGAGACTCATATCCAAGGGGTGATAAATCTGGGTAAAGTCGTCGCCGAGGATTGTTTCGAGATCGTAAAAGTCGGACCAGCTGCTGAAGGTGTTCATGTCCTCGTCGACGGCGGTCCGGAGGTCGTACACAGGCAGCATAGGCGCTCGGAACTCGACGGCAGTCTCGCCCATCCAGTTGAGGAGCGGGTTGGCGCGGGCTCGCAGCGGGAGGAAGGTCTCGGCCTGGGGGAACAGGAACAGGTACAGCGCGATGAGATTGGCTAGAGAACCACCACCGTTTCCTTGGAAATCGATGATGAGGCGGTCCTTCCCATCATCGGCCGAGTCCGTGACAAAGGTCGATACGACTCGCACGAACTCCTCCAAGTCAGCCTCGGGTTGCGACTCCAGGTCGGAGGTCAAGAAACTCTTGACGGCGAGTACAGCCGTATCGTCCAGCTTGCCACGACGGAAGTGGTAACCGCTGATGTAGCCATCCTCGTGAATGACGAAAGGGTCCGGATAGCCCACATTGTCGAAGCCGTCGGACTGGCGCTTCGCCAACTTTGTGAAGGGGCTCGACTCTGCGTTTCCAAACCTGTCGGGGACTTCAAATCTATTGTGAACATCTTCGCCAGACGAAATGTTAGAGAAGTCGCCGACAAGCACAGCGACGTTGTTGAAGGAGACCTCGGTATTGTTGCCAAATACGATGGTACTCTGATCAGTCAGATTGCCGTGAGCGAAGATTGTGGAAGCAGCAGAAACACCAATGTTGTCGAGAGCCGCGCTGTACAACTGGGAGTTCCATGAAGCATCAGGATCCTGGTTTCGGTCATTGTCGACACCTCGCTGCTGAAGCCAATCGAAGATGGGGGTGCCGTCGAAGGATACGACTTCGGCGGCGTCGTAGCCCTGGCTTTGGCTCTGAAGGTAGTCATCTGATCCGGCATGTCAGTCATGGACAGGCGGTCATGGAATTGTCTAATCGGCGTACCGTATAGGTAAATGCTTGGTAGGCTGGTGCCGTCTTCCGAAATGGAAATAAAGACGGCCGGCGTGGCGAATTGAACAGCGCTAATCAGAGCTGGGGTATAAGACAAATGGCCCTCACGCGGCTTAACGTTAATGAGGCGGAACAAGTCAACGATAAAGTCGTATTGGTTGTCGTAGTCGCCGTTCCGCAGCATGTTTGTCATGTTCGAGAAACCACCCAAAATGTCGACACCAGGGTACATGTAGCCCTCGGGAGGATCGGCAAGGATGCCGACAGTGCTCTGAAACTCAAGCCATGGCTCAAGGTACTCGAGGAGGGCGATGTCGCGCTCGGTGTCGACAGCAATCGAGCGCAAACACTCGTAGGCGATGGAGGGCCTCACGAGGGCGGGGCTGCCTGGAGAGAGGGGTTAACAGGAGACGCGAGACAGAGTGGTGGGTGACAGAAGGTGCGTACTGCTACCGAACGTTCCATTGAAAGCGCCACTTCCGCCGCTGTAGGCTTCTGAGAGTTGGGCGCATGCGTTTTGCGAGGTCTGGCGCTTCGCAATGTGCGGACCTCGCGCAGCCAGCTCGAAGAAGGGAATAGCGCCCGAGGCGATGGTCGCGGGTCTCACCATGGCGGCGACGCACGTTTTGATCGAGAGCGAGAGAGGCGAAGGGGGTCCACGAAGAATGTGGAATATCCGGGGAAGGACCTCAGAGAAGGGGGAGCCATGTTCGAGGCCCAGCGTGGGGGATATGGTCATCCTTTATTCTCGGCCATTTTTGGATCTCCAGGCCCTGCGGCCCCCGGTTCCCGGTTCGCGTTGGCGAGATGGGCTGGCTTGTCCTGCGCATCGCCGTTTGGTCCGGCGCGGCACAGCTTATGGACGGAAGCTGGGCGTGGTGCTTCACGAGGGTGGCTCAGACCCAGGTGTACCCTGGTCTAGCGGCTGGGTCTCCTTTTGCCTGTTGACTCGCTAGGGTTGCAGCTTGAGCGGCTAAGTAGATCAATCAGCACTGCATTCGTGACTATGAGTAACAAGCTCAGACGTCGAATGCTTCAATTGAAATGATGTTCTTCCACTCAATGTTCGACGCGTCAGAGGAAGATGCTGCCACTTTTTTTTTTTCTTTTCTTTGCTGAGCACCGGGGGCGCCTGGTGGCTGTCGAGATCGAGATGGAGGATGCAGGTGACGACGACCAGGTCGTCACAGTACACCCCGATGGAGAAGCGCATGGCCCACGATCCACTGGCGAAAGAAGACGGCCTCAGCTGCTGCAGGCGTTGGCGGCCCTTGGCGCAGGGCTGGCGGCCTGGCGTGCTGACAAGAGGGTCACCAGTCGGCTATCGCTGGCTGGGGTCGCACCGCTTACGGCACAGCCTGCCAGGGGTACAGTGTCCTTCAGACGGAGTTCTTCTTGGAGTCATCATCGGGCAGATTGTACAGGCCGAGATGCCATGCACCAACCAGTCCTCCCAGAATCAGAACGTTCGCTCCCCTTCCGGCAGCAAAGAGCAGGCTTATTGTCGTGCAAGCTTGGCATCCTTCGGTTGTCTCGGGCAGTGCAGTGAGACTAGCGGCGGATGGGAAAACTCGTGGCAAACGGCGGGCCCGTAGGGTTGGTTGAGTAGGCTGCCATGGACGGGGTTAAGGTCAATCAGCCCGATGGAGCCTTGTCATCTGATCAGAAGGATGTCATGCTGGTTGTGACGATTGGAGCTTGGTCCTTTGTGGTATACGTACGCTCAAGTCTTGGCTGCCGTGGCAAATGAATAAAGTACCAGTTATCTGTGATTGATGCCAAGCAGGGAGATGGCAGCATCTTGAGACGCGAGGTGATGCGGCGGCATGGCCTCGAGGAAGGATGGCCGCCCTGGCGATAATGTGACTCTGACGGGCATGAACATCCTGATGGACGATCAGGGGTACGGCGCAGGTAGTGGCCGTGGGACTTGGGCTGATGGGGGAAAAGAGCAGGAGCAGTGGCAGGAGCAGGGCCGCCGTTGGATTTGGGTTGGCAGGGACGAAACTAGACGAGAGGATAGAGCCAGCCAATGGGAGACATTGTACAAGACCTTCCTATCCACAGTTCATGGATGCCTCGCCTACCTACCTACCTACCCCTTAGGTACCTTTGGTGCCCTTGTTCATGCCACTTGTCCATGGTACACAGCGCATAAAGTCCCCTAGACCATTTGTGGCCATGATGTCTCGGTACGTACCTTGGACATCCAGTTCGGGACACCGAGAACGCCTACCCCAGGCAGACTCTCTCCATCCCGCCACCCCTCCTCCATCCATCCTATCCCGTGCCCATCAACACGGCCATGGAGCTTAGCTTCAGACAATCCGCTACATTCAGTGAATCCAGGTGGCTATCTTGAAAAGTCTGAAGCTGTGTCGACAAGTGCTCTTTTGAGGTACAACTCGATCGCGCAAAGTCTCCAAGGCCCGACACTGGCAATCGATTCGCTAACACTGGCATCAGGATGAGGGATGCGATGCTGTACCAATCATTACCCCTGATCTATGTGTCCGATGCTGTAGTATGCCAATCTACAAGCCAACCTGTGTCTATGCATTCCCCACGAAATGATTTGCTCGTGGGGGGGAGTACGTCAACCTCAGGGTCCATCCCCTCGAACCTCAGCCCTGACCGGCACGCCCGTCGCGAGCCGTCAATACCGTTCAGCCCACATCAGTCCAATACTGACTGGTCTAGCCACTCCTGCGACCACCGAAAGAGCAAAAAGCACAACCAAGTCATAGAGCTGCTGCGCTGTGGCTTGCATACGGCACACCCACGAAGCCAGTGCCGTCCTGTAGCTACCGCCACGACGGCTTCTAGCACTGGCAGTGCCCTTCATCTATCGAAATGGCTTGCATGGCCATATGCCGTCAAGGCATTCTATCCCTCCGACTCTGTTCTGACCTATGGCGTTCGTGGCGGCCCATGAACGCCAGGCGCTTGAACTGTTCAGTCTGGCCGGTTCGAGAGCTTGACAGCGCCAGTGTGCGAGGGCTGCGGCGGCCCAGCCCGGAATAACAACCAGCCCAGAGCTCAAAAGCTGACGAGTGCCGTCTAATTCCACTGCATTGATCAAACATTTCTGCAGTTTGTATTTATTCTTGTTTCTGAACACACAAGGAGCCATACGGCTGAATTACTCTAAAGCAAGCGTCAGCCGTAGCTCAACACCATGGATCAATGCGCCCTCGATCCTGATACCGTCATCGGCACCAACAGCACCGACAACTCCACCCTCGTCTTCTCCGACTTTGCCGTCTCCCTCGCCAACATCGCGCCCTGCGGCGCCCCTACGTATCTGAGGCCGGACCCAGGCGGCTGTCTTTTGCCCTGGCCCTACACGCTCGCATGGATCCTCGTTCACCTGCCCGTGACGGTCCTGCGCGTGAATCGGTGGGAGAAGGTCCAGACACTGTCCATCCTCCTGGCCTTCTTCAGCGTCTACTTCACAGCCCAGGCTTACACGACCCACCTGACGCCCGACCAGGTCATGGTATGGATGCCCCTTGCCATCGTGCTCGATGTCGGCGCCATGATGCAGCTCGTCTTCCTCGTCATTCAGGAAAACGGCGTTGTGCTGTTATGGGCTGCTTTTAAGCAGCTCCTCATGAGACCTTTCCGGACGCAGCGGAGGCCGTCCATCGAGCTCATCCGCCAAGACGCGCGCGGCGAGAACAACAACGGTAATAATGCAAAAGGTAGTCAGTTCCTCCTCCGGGACCTGCAGCCATTGTCCCGCCTCCCACTCCTACTCCCGTCATGAAGTCGAGGACCGCACACTAACCCTGCCGCCTCCCACTTAGTCGCAGTCCACGTTCTTGAACCAGAGCCCGTCCCGCAAGACCGCGACCTCGCTCCGAAAGCCCTCGTCACACTCCTCGCCCTCTTGCTCCTCGTCACGCTCGTCATCCTCCAGCTCGTGGGGCTCGCCAACGCCGCACGCGGTCGCAAGACCGACGACCTTGCCGCCGTCTGGTGTTCCCCCATGTTCCAGTCCGGCGAGGCCGTCCTCGCCACGCCCGCGCGGTGCCAGAGCACCCCGCTCCCCGTCGACCGCTCCGCGAGCCAGGGCATCGGCTGCGTGCGCCTGCCGGCCGACGACCAGCGCCGCTGGCTGACCGCCACCGTCGCCGTGCTCTCCGCGAGCCTCGTCGCACAGGTCGTCGACGCCGCCGTTCTCGTTCTCGTCGGCAACAATGCGCGGTGGTGGCGCGCCCGCATGAAGAGGCCTTGGTGCACCATGGTCCTGGGCAACGGCGTCCTCATCAGCATCCTCATCGCCGGCATCATCAGCAGCTCCGACCTGCCGCGCTACGTCGACCGAACCGTGTGGGTATTCAAGTACGAGCGGAGCGTCAACACGGCGAGCGTCTGTCGGGGGACGCTCATCTCGGCTGGCGTCAGAGGGTCGATCATTGGGTGGACGGATGGGTTCCTTCACAGTTGGGGCGAGACGTACTCGGGGTTTTAGCGCGGATCTGATTCGATGAGGCTGTGACGGGCTTGTGGTGGGCTGCCTGCGGTGGAGCATTCCGTGTGTCCATCTCCCTGATCCAGATGTAAGGCGTTGGGTTCACGGTTAGAGTTCACTCGAATTACGTCGGAACGATGCGCTTCAATTGAGTTTATCTCGAATCTATCCAACTTCTTGGGAGCATGGACACGGCATGCTCTACATGGTATGGCGGGCCATAGTTCGAGATCAAATTCGATTACAAGGCAGGACCGAAACCCGGCATCAACACCGCACAAGCCATCATGCCACCCCCAAAGCCATGGATGAGGCTCCTGCAGTCTGGCACCTGTCTCCTCGAGAAGAATGTATACCCATGGAGTTCTGGGACCTTCGTTGCCCTTTTGACCCCATCCCATCATCACGTCGCGGGCATGAACACTCTGCACGTTGAAACGAAGAACAATAGACTTTCTCATGTTGACCAAAGAAACCGATATACTAGCCGGCACAACCAGCTTGTTCTCGACCGCTCATTCTACCATCTCGATCATGAATCCCGGGGGCCAATAAGCCTCATCATACTTTTGTCTTTCCGATGCGTCACGCGCACCCTTTGATTCTTTTCTCTTCTGTATAACCCATTGATTACTCGCCTGCGCAGATAACACCAGTGATATGCATACTTCCGTTCGTAGCCCTCGCCCATACACACTGGGCACTCCTCCAAGCGGAGGAAGCCATGACAACAACGCCTGCAGTGAATCTGAAAACGAAACTACTGAATCTTCGCCATACGTTTGGACATGCTGGGAGACAATATTAGCAAGGATCAAATAGCCAAGAGCGTGGGAAGAACTCACAAATCATAGAAAGCAAATTGGCCGGGGCTGATGCCGAATTCGTACACAAACCTCGAAGCGAGGTAGCTGCCGAAGATGGCGCGTAGGTAGGCGTCAGGCACACGGGAGATGATGGTGTCGAGGCCAATCTTGTCAAGGAGAAGGTTAGGCAGAGCGTCAGCCAGGACGGAGCGGCGCGTGCGCTCGTCCTTCCACATGTCGGAGTGCTGGAGCTCCTCGTCGAGGTCGGTGATAGCGACCGACAGCCTGTCCGAGAGAATGCTGCGCTCGACACCAGACTTCTCGTGCTCGCGCCAGATGGCCTCGAACTCGAGCTGGGCGTTCTCGCAAATCTTGGCCTGCACCTGCTTGACATAGTCCTTGTAGAACTGGGGCGCCACGCCCTTGGCATCGTGGCACATGTGCTGCACGAAGCTCTCATCGTCAAAGGACAGAGATGCGAGGACCTCGAGCGAGGATGAGGTAACACCACCCTTGTTGGCACTGGCATCCTTGTAGATGATGCAACCGGCCGCCTCAAGGCGCAGCTTGGCGTCCTGGGTGATGAACAAGTTGGCGCCCTCGACAATGTAGGGAATCGTAGACTTGCCATCCTTGATGAGCTTGTTGACGGTGATGAGGTCGATAGACTCAGGGCGACCACCGCAAGGCACGAAGATGTCGGTCATGCCCGTATCACGGAGGTGGTAGGTGTTGCGGAAGGTGGTTCCGTTGCCAACGACCTCGCCCGTGGGCAGAGTCATGTTGGTGTCCTCGCAGAGGACTCGGTAGCCATCCTTCGACAGCTTGGAGATGTCAAAGTTGACAATCATGGAACGGCTCTTGGCCAGGCGGAGAAGCTCCTCCCTGTCGAGACCATTGGGGTCCACAATGACACCAGAGCCATCGACGATCGAGGTGTACTTCTCGTTGCTGAGAAGAATCTCATTGCTGCCCAGATCGCCGTCAGGGCCGCCAGTCTGCATCTTCCTGACGGTCGAGGGGTCGAGGCCGGTCTTGCGGTAAATTCCCTTGACATACTCGCGGACAGAGAGAGTAGTCATGCCGTATTCGTCGTGGGGAATACCACCAAGCTTAGGAGACTTGCCGGTGAAGAAGGACTTCCACCAGGGGGCGCCACGCTTGCGGGCGTGCTCCGTTGCCCAGTCGACAAGATCAGCAGTGTTCTCGTCGGGGCCCATGAAGAGAATCTCCTGCTTGCCGTAAAGGTCGACAATGGGGTTCTTGATACCAGGTGTCACACCAGGCAAGAGCAAGTCAATGATACTGTCAATGTACTTCTCGAAGGCCTCTTCGGAGTGGTCCTGCATCTTGGCATCAAGAAGAATGACGCCCTTGGAGCCGCCCTCGGGAATATCTTTGTTCTTGCGCTGTTGAGTGCTAGAAAGGCCATAGTTTTCGTCGAAGAGGTTCCGGGCGTTGATGCCGTACGCCTCCTTGCTGCGAGACTTGACGATACGGATGCCGCCGCGTGCGACGTCCTTAAAGCGGAGGTGGAAACCACGGAACTCAGCACCGATGACGAGGAACATGCCATACAGTCTGCGGGGGTACTCAATCTCAGGCAGGAAGGCCGGGTCCAAGCGGAAGCTCAAGGCGACCTTGGTAGGGGTGAAATAATTGGTCTTAAGAATGGCGTTGTTGAAGACGCGGAACGCAGTCATGACCATCTCCTCGTGCTCGTTGGAGACTTCACGGGTGATCTTCTCCTTGAGCTTAGCATCGGACATAACCTCCAAAGCGGGGGTGGGCGCGATGAAGTGACGCTCAAAGTCGGCACCGACAGCGAGATGAACGCTGGCGAAAGATGCGTACAGAGCGCGCACCAGACCGGGGTATGACTGAATAATCTCCAGAATGTAGTCGGGAGTGAACGTCTCCGTCCTCAGACGACGCTTGAGCTTGGACAGCAGAGCAGTATGAACGTTGCTCTTGGGATCGAGAATGTCGGTCAGCGAGACATACTCGGATCCAAGGCGGTTCAGGAAGTGCTGGATGAAGACCCAAGCGCAGTGGCCGTAGACGGTCTCCTGAAGACTCAATTCACCGCTGGTGAAGAGATCGTGAAGCTTGTTGTGGGGAAGGCAGTACAGGAGGGAGATTTCCTTGGTGATCTGGTGGATGGACTGCTCGAGGGGAGGGTACTCGCCCTCGAGGGTCATGGCGGGGCGAAGGTAGATAGACATGACGGTGATGCCGTTGGAGAACTGCTCGACGTACTTCCTTGAGGAGGTGACGCCATAGTAGTGGTAGAGATCAGAAAGTGCGGAGAACAGGCCACGCGCTGTCCTGGAGCGGAAAGCAACGACGAGGCGCTTCTCGGCCATGCCCTCGATATCAAAGACCTCAATGACGGGGCCCGTCCTGTTGACGGCCAGCTCGATAATCTCCTGATAAATCTGCTTGGTGTTGGCCGTGGCCTTCTGCAGGAAACCTTGATCGGCGATGACCTCGATGCGGGTCTCGTTGGGATCAGTCTGCTCTGGGGGCTGCTTGAAGATGCACTGGTAGACGAAGTAGCAGCGCAGGGTAGCCTTGGAGCTGGGCGAGGCACCGAGGACGCCAGGGGAGCGGAAGGTCTCAACGCGGTACTTGGAGCGGCCTGTGTGATCCAGGTACTTGGCCTCGAGCCTGCTCTCGTAACGAGGGCCATTTGTGATGGTACGACCAGCCTCACTGGTGTCGATGTAGATGGCGTGATCCTCAGCCTCCATATCTAGCCTGATCTCCTCGCGCTTGTCCTCGCGCGCATACGCAGCGACTTTGGCAGCGTAGAGAGACGTCACCTGGCTGGCGATGACCTGAGGCGTCTCGATCTTGAAGTACACATCGTCGATACCGAGCGACTCGTAAAACCAAGTAACCTGGTCGTCAACGACGGTAGGGGGGATCCAGCCCTGGGAGGAAACAAGGTCCTTGACCTGCTTCATCTGTTCGTCCTTGCCGACGAATTCGGGAGCGACATAGCCAACAGTGGCCGAACGCAGGACGCGGTGGCCATTGCCGTTGGTTTGGGAGAGATGAGGAACGCTGAAATGTGTGGGCTGAGGAGATGGGTGTCGGCTAGGCTCTTGGGACTCGGTCAGGACGGTGCCGAGGGCCTTGTTGCGGGGAGGAACGGCTGTCGCCATGATTTCTGTTGGGATCTCGAACGGATCGGTGTATTCCGGAAATCTGTCGAAATGAGAAACGTCAGTTTGGATCTTGAGGGCCAACATGATGGGCGGTTCTGGAAGAAGCCAGAACTGCGCCTCGTGGAATGAGAGATGATTCTGAAGAGACAAGCGAAAACAAGTTGGGTGTCAAGTCTGACAAGGCAATCACAAGAGACAGGCTGGCGAGGCCCTATATAGAGTAGACAGAACGGTGGCTAACATGATGACGGGCGCGGTGAATTGATAGCGCCCAGACAGCAATGAACGTGCTCTGGGCCGAGATAACAAAGCCAGGATAGAAATGCGAGGCACCAGAGACGAGGCGGCGCGGATACGACGCAAAGGTTCACCGCTTCAGCAGCCATGTACGGGGCGTTGATAAGGGAGATGCAGGGTCCAGAACCGCCAGCCAGGCACGAAGAGGTCCAGGCAGTTGTGGGCGGTGGATGCACGTACCTAGAGGCCTGATCTGTAGGCTGTACACGAGATCAGGGGGGGATTGAAGAGATAGAGCAGCAGCTGAAACTCGAGTTCGGCTGGCTGCTTGAATTGTGTGCGTATTCTGACGTCGTCGAGGGACGGCAGGCGGAGGATTTGAGACGATCAGATCCGATCTACCGTGGCGGGGCAGATAAGAGGCGGGCGCTGATAAGAGGGAGAACAAGCAAGTGGGATTGACGCGTTGGGGCGGTCAACAAAGAATGTCGGCCGACTGTGAAACAAGTTGAGCAGACGGTCGCGAGCTTATGTAGCAAAGGCTGAGCGCGAAGAAGCAGAGCTGGATCTGGAGCTGCTGGTGCTGGCGCGCGTTGTTGGGTAGTCCGGAATGCCCCTCGTTGCTTTGGAGAGCCGTGTGAGGCGGGTTGCAGGGATGTTCGGCTGACGAAGGCCTAGAGCTGTAGGGGGGTAGTTGGGAGGCCTTTGAGCACAGCCATCCGGCCAGAGCTGGGTAGCTCGGAAGACGGAGCGTTTCTTGTCTGGTGCGACGTTGTCTCGTTGCCGGTTCCGGAAACGAGCAGAGCAGGCTTGTTATTGATAAGAAGCAAGGCTCGTGGTCTCGGGTTCTTATCTGGGCTTGTGCCGAAAATAGGTAGGTAGTAGCAGGCAGGCAGGTAGGAAGACAGGAGAGGACACGAGGTCGCCGGTGCAATGCAGCAACAAGATGACGACAACGAGGGAGTAGGGGAAGTGGAGGAAGAGGAGGAATGATCAATCGAGGTTGATCTAGGGAGGACGATGCTAAGGCAAGGAAGAGTCTGACGATCACCGAGAGCTTGAGACCAGTGACAGGCGGGAACATGCACACCCCTTATATACTTGCCCCTCGACGACGCCCATGGTTCTTCTCGTGCGTCGTCGTGGGCATTGCGCAACCTTTGCTCGAAACGGAGCCCGCCAGTTTGATCGTGGAGCTTGGGCTAACTCTTGGACCGGGGAAACGGTGCTTCCAAGGGGCGGCCTGACGTTGGCATGGGCGCGGGCCCGGGCTTGGACCGTGTGAGAAAGGCAGGAGCGAGAGTCAAAGGAAGCTCGAAAAAACCAGCCTGATCACGATGATGTCTTCGCCTGCATCACGCTGGGCGACTTATTACCAAATAGCAACCGCTTAAGCCTCTTTGGGCAGCACCAGCCAGCAGGGAGGCGCCTCCATTGGACAGAGGCATTCGTACCTGTCGCTCGTGCCAGGGGTCTCGCAGGACCAGACGCTCCACTGGGGAGCCCAGCCCACAGGGCCGCAGGAGGCGGGGGCGGCGGCGGCGACCACCTGGAACGTCAGCTGGACCTGCGGCAGCGGTCCCCTACGGGTTTCTAGAAGGTATCTCGCCCTGTTTCCACCCCGCATGCCGGCCGACGACTCTACCTCGCCGGGACCTGACAGGCACCTATCTAGCTTGGGACGGCTATCCAAGGCAAGTTTTTCAATGGAGTTTTTCTGGAGATTTTTCTCACCAGCCTGTGCCATCGTCTCGAGGTTCCCATGATTGCCATTACCCCTTCAAAACCCCCAGACTCTAAGCATCGTTGCATGCCACTTGGCGCTAATGACTACACGCCTGGAGCAAGCGCTGGACCCCGCCATCTGCTGTCCATTGTACAGGGGCTGAGTACCTTGATGATGTTCGAAGATGCAGATGACAACACACACACACACTCACACATACAGAAAACTTGGATCAGAAAGAGAGAAAGCGAGAGACGTAGAGAGGTAGAAAGGGACAAAAAGCATCCGGGCGTAAACTAAAAAGAGTCTGTGTACCTATAGGTGGCCGTGGCAAAGACGTGCAAAACGCCAGCTGTGATGAGAAGACGCCCGTTTGGCGCAACCGCGCCCCGCTACTCCATCCGTTTCCTGTTCCACACCCACAACCCACACACCTACATGTACCGTACGCAAAGCGCAAGAGGGGTTGCCTACGGTGAGTTCGGTGAGGGCCAGGTGCCTACGTCTACCTGCCTTTTGCGCCATGCCTCCATTTACTCCAATCACTCCACAATGGGCAATACCTGTGCAGTATCATCTCATCGCAGTTTTTAGCAACACCAGGGCAACCGAAACCCAACACTGACCCCGTCCGACCCGGCCTGTCAAACTGGCTGCGGTCACCGGGTCCCAAATCTCGTTTCAATGATCAATGCCTGCTGATCCGAGCACCAACGCAAACGGAAGGATAGAGCAACAGCAATCCATCCTAGAGCTCCAAGTCAGGCGCACACGCTGACTGCCCCTGCCACGGCCGGGGTAATGAGTCGCACGCGCCGTTCCAAGTTACAATCCACCTGCCTCGCATCGTTATTACATTCCATCCCCATCCATCTCCAATCCTGGATCAATACTCCGATCGATCCCCAACAAAGTAACACAATACTTGGCCTCTCGTGGCCCCTCGTGACGAAAGCAATGCGAACTCGCCCCTCCGAATGGCCCGGCGTCTCCTCCTCAGGGCCCACTCACGAAGCCCGCTTGCCCCGCGTCTAGGCGCGCCCAAGACGCCGTCTCCCATGGAGGGGCCACCTGGAGGCAAGGACCAAAACCCAGAACCAGGGAGAGAAACGGTAGGGTCACACACATCAACAAGACGGTGGCCAGAGTGGCTGGATTGGAGCCTCTAGAGGCTCTGCCAGCGTTTCCATTACCCCCCCATTACCCCCAGGTTTTCCTCTCCTAGACGGGGCTGCGTTTCCATTACCCCCAGATTACTTGATGGTGCAGCATCGCAAAAGCACGCCTTTGCCCACGGGACAGACCGACTTGGCTCAATTGGAAGGACTGGGGGCCGCCTGGGGAAATACTCTGATGCACCATGTCCCTTCTGAAAAACCTTGCAAGACACAGGATCAATTGACTGGCAGGCGGGCTCCATCCTGAGTCGTCACGGCCAATGCAAAATCTGTCCAACCCAGAGCCCCCGATCTGTTGGTGGTCTCATTACCCCATCGACTGCCCCTCGTCAGACCCAATTCCGTCGCGAGCATCCAACGAAACTGAAGCAGCCTGCTGCAGTCCTGCAACAAGACAGGCTGTCCCTCACATCGTCAACTTCGCTGTCGCTGGTGCCATTTTTGAACATGGCCCTCCACACCCCGGGCCGGGATATGTGGCGGGTCGCGTCGCTTCGAGCTCGATGGATCCGTCTGATCGACAGATTTTTCGCTGCCTGCCGCTATCAACGAGCCAAATTAACATTTCCGTTTTTATCCTGGGCGCGGTCGCCCGTAACGTTAACTGCACCATCACCGCTTCAGACGACTTCGTTCGTAGCCTTGAACCCGGTCCGGCGCCGCCTGTGTGGACAGCTACCGGCTCGCACACGTAGCGCTTGATACGTGCCTAGAGGGGTTGAGGACCTGACTGACGCTGAAGCGACCTGTTCAGTTCCACCCCTGTTTCCGTTTACTGGGACAAGTCTAGAACTCGAAGTCCCAATTTTACTCCAATTCTGGGCCCCTTGTTCCGTTCGTTCTTCTGCTAGTTGTCGAGCGGTGGAACAGCTGGATGCACAGCCACGGAAAACTCGGTGCACCAAGTGCGTTCGTTGTCTGGGGGTGCGAGCAAGGTCACGAGGGCCTGAAGCACAATCTCCCAGCATGTCCCGGCACTTGGGTTGCTTCTGCTCCTCCCGCGGTGACTCCTCGCGCCCAACCACCCCTGGAATTACGAGTTCACGATGGTATCACTTTTAGCTGCACCGGCCGGAAGTCCTCGAAGGGGCCGCGGCTCACCGCGGCACTCACCGCCCCCCGTGGCGCCGCTGGTTCCCTGGGGGGAATCTCTGGGATAGGGGCGCCAGATGATCAGCTGGACACTGGCTGGAGCCAGCTTCGGCCACCGCTGGTGCCGTGCACGTCCACGTGCTTGGCCAGTCTCGTGAGGTGTCAGCAGGAAGGAAGGGGCAATTTCTGTCATTCAGAATTAGTGATGGGCAGTACGGAGGAGTCATCGTGTCCACATTGATTGGCACCGAACACATGAGTTGAAGCATCGTGAAATTTGTTGAAGGGATGAATCGCCCGGAAGTGCATGGCCGACAAACTGGTGGGTGAGACACGTCGCTCACTGGTTGAGAGTTTGACTAACTCGAACGTCACATTTAACCCTGTTTCTTGGGAGTGTCAGGCCATCCTGCTCGCCCACATCTGTTCTTCAGGTGAGTGCCATGGTCCCAGACGTCTCGTCAAGCCAAATTCCTTCCAAGCAGCATCGGTTGTCAGTCTACCAGTCCATCGCTCAACTGCCGAAGCTGCGGCGCCGAGTCCTCCACGTCGAACGGCGCCGAAACGAGGAAGATATCGGAGGGCGTGCCCGATGTGGGGGCTGCGAATCGGAAGTTGGCTTGATGACATTCGCCCTCCATCTTCGCGCCTGCATGACGCCTCTCAGGCATGGAGGGACGGATCCTCGGCCGTTGTCCTCTGAGGCCCACCCAGAAATACCTTCATCCCAACCTGCCTATTCTAAGTACCTCCATCATTGCCGTCCGGTTGTTTGCTGCCGCCAAGTGCAGCCCGCGACGCGCATCCGCTAGTAAAACAGACATGGATGTCCACTGCTGAGTGGGTGGCTCGCAAAACCCAACTGTCGTCAGTGCAGAGTTTTCGACCAAAGCCTGGGCGCCAGGGACGTCGCCCCGTCATTGAACAACTGCCCGCATCAGCGCTGGTCCCACTACCCCAATTTCTTCGCACCTCCGTCCCCGCGCGAACCAACATTGCACTAGAATTCTTGGTCTGTCCGACATGACAGCTCAGATCTTCAGCGAGCCATGACTTTGATAAACATAATCACAACGAGCTTGCGGGCGCGATGCGCTGGTGGTGGTCCTTGTCCATCAGCTCAGTGTTATTCTTACCACGCTTGGACGCTAGCTAGATGAGTGTTGACCCTATACACCAAGAAGATGCCTGAATAACATGGAAAAATGCTGAATCCGAGAACGGCGTATAAATTACTGACGCCGTCTGGACTTTCCAAGACAGACACTTTCTTGAGGTAGCAGATTCTCGGCATGGCAATCATGCAGCTATACATGCATGTATGCCTAAGAGTCAAGCCAGCGATAGACTGGATAATCAGCATCTGTCTAGAGAGGGTAGAAAGTCTGTCTGAAGAGGAAAGAAAAGAGCTTCGTGAAGCCCGCCAGCGGAAAAGTGCTCATGCCCCAGACCAGCGACATGTGCCTCCTATTGAGCCACACTGTCGTCTTCGAGAACAGTCGCTGGCACGAGCTCTGCGGCTCGGGACGTGGCACAGAGCACCACCCTGTAGTGTTTCGGTCGCTCATTTTATCAGCGAGCTATCTTGTGGTGATTAGTAACCTCGCTTCGACGGAACCAGTGTGTATTCAGGTGATTCGATGTGCCAGGAGTGCGAGCTTGGGACTAGGTGCATCGCCGACGCGCTGAAATGGGCCGCCAGAGAGCAGATATGTCTCGCCGCACCTGCCACAGGGCGGCACCACTGCACCAGGTCGTCCGCCGATCGCGCCAGGCTAACCGACATGGGGCTTCGTATGTTTGCATGATGTGCGAAAGAAGAGCTTGCGCCGGCTGCCGGGACTGATTTGCATGCTTCTCATTTGACGCTTCTTCTAGAAGGCTGATCAGTCGGCTTCTTTTGAAGGCTGAGCAGTCGGCTTCTGTTGGAATACCTTATCCCCCCACCATACAATATCCCAGTACACTAGGTACTACGGTAGGCGAAACAGCCATGTCTGTCATCGGGGATGTGCCGACGTCGAGCTGGGGCTGGGGGGGGGGGGGGCGGACCTATTATTAGGCCGGGCAGCGAAAGCGCTCACCCACCAACTTGTGCCTGGCGACACCTGACAAGCCCGACAGACCTGGCTGGTCCCGGTACGCTCCCAGGAACACGAAAGGCCCAGACGGTCTAGACCCTTCTGTCCTCCGCCCTTGATCCCAGGTCGGATCACTGCCTAACCTTTAGGCCCTGCCTAAGATTTCGGAGAGGAGGCACGACCCGACCGAACCCCCACGTCCCCCCTCCTAAGAGCCGGAGACGAGAAAGAAAGTCTGAACGGCTCGGGCGTGCGGCTGCTCGTCTGAACTTCTTCTCACTCCACCACTCTGTAACCTCACTTGCTGCTGCTGACGAGCCATCATCGCGACGAGCCGAGCCTCATCTTGCCTGCGCCTGCCGACCAGCGACGAACCAAGAAATCGAGCTTCTCACACACACGACAGTGCCCTGCTGAGCGAGCGACATATCACCACCGCTACTCCCTCAGTGTCCGAGAACGGAACCCCCCCCCCCTCGCCAGCAATGGACCTCGCCATCGTCACCATTCCCCCTCTCACCGACCACACGCACACCGTGGTCTTCCTCCACGGCCGCGGCGACAATGCCAAGGACTTCGCCTCCTCGATCCACTACTCCACCACCTCCCGCGGCTTCACCCTTCCCGAGGCCTTCCCGTCCTTCCGCTGGGTCTTCCCGTCCGCCGGCATCTTGGACGTCGCGTGCATGCCCGGCGACCGCCGCAGCCAGTGGTTCGACATCTGGGACGCCAGCAACTTCAAGGACCACGAAGAGGTCCAGCAGCCGGGCCTGCGCGAGAGCGTCGCCGCCCTGCGCAAGATCCTGCGCAGCGAAGCCGAGACGCTCAGCGGACAATGGGGCAAGGTCGTCCTCGCCGGCATCAGCCAGGGCGGCGCTGTCGGCGCACACACGCTGCTCAACCTCGCCACCGACGGCGAGACGCGCCTCGGCGCCTTCCTCGGCTTCTCGTCTCGCCTGCCGTTCCCCGAGCGGTCGCTGTCGGAGACGAGGAACGTCCTGGCCCTCGAGGGTGTGCCTACGGGCAATGGCGTTCTGAGGAAGACGCCTGTGCTTCTGGAGCATTGCGTGGACGACCCTCTTGTGCTGGTGGATTGGGGCCGGCAGCTGAGAGACCAGCTCGTCAAGTTCGGCGCCCAGGTGACGTGGAAGGAGTACCCAGACGGCGGCCACTGGTTCAATTCTCCAAAGGGCATCGACGATGCCGTGGCTTTCATCAGTCAGTCATTAGATGTACGAAGTGTGTGATGGAACAGGAGAGGCCGTGGTGTGGACAACGACAAACGATTGACTGTAACGAAATCTGGGACGGCGAGAACGGAAGCTTGTCACGTCACGAACTCGGAATCTCGATCTCTCCGCATCGTTCCTCCCAGCTGTGGAGGTGCTCTTTGACGCAAATCTGGCAATGGCTCATCTTGGCTGCCCATCTGCAACGCTCCAAAGGTCCTTCGGCGCCGCGTTACTTCGACTCAGGAACTGCCCAAATCTATTATCCCGATGGCAAGCAAGCCGCGACTTCAACTGCCTCCGACGAGCTGACAAGCTACCAACGATACGACAACCTCAACCTGAGCAGATCAACCCGGGCAACCCCCGGCAGCTAGGCCTTCGGCGGTAGCGCCGACGCAATAGATCGACACGGGGATTATAATGCCAAGTGATTTAGTAGAGAGGCGAACCGCGATATGAGTGCAGCTGCTGGCTTCGATGCCGAGCATGTCCCTCGCAGACGCTTCGATGGATTGCAACACCACGGCGCTCGACTTCGGAGGCACTGCCTTGCCAACGCACGCAGGAAAGAACGGCAAGAAAAGCCTAGAGACCTTGGCTTTCCAAGGCGTGCTGAGCGGAGATGCGGGCCCCGTATCCTGTAGGTTCTCACGCCAACCACGGCGCAAGTGCAGGCTCCGTGAATCATGAACGAGCTGACCTCGTATCGCAGCGAACTATTTGAAGTCTGACCCCCGTTTAGGGCAGAGGCTTCCCCACGCCAGCACCAACGATCGGCTGGCTCCCGACGAGCTCAATCTTTCAGCGTCCAGTGATAAACGCGAATATCCAAACGACGGAAGAGGAAATAGAAGGAATTTCGCATTTTCTGCGGTTCCCGCTACGTATCATTATTCGGGCCTAATGGCTCAGGGCTATCATTGTGGAGGGGCGGGAGCAACGTGTGGCCGGTTTGTCCGTTGCATATGAGAGACGTGGCAAGAAGAGATTGATGGCTAGGTAGCTACTGTGTGTCTGCAAGACCAAATCATTCAATTCGCGCATGCTGCATCCTCATGGGAATCGGAATGTCGTGTGACGAGTCTTTTTCTTGGCCGCTGGAGGGCAAGGCCTGCGCCGGGCTCCAGGAAGTCGATGGGCCGCCCTGGCAATGATCAGCGGTTTGGCAGATTGCAGGGGTGCTACACTGCACCTTAACTGGATCAGCCCCTTGGCAGATCCCCGCCGTGCGCCCCGCCGGGCTGAGGCACAACACGGGCGCCGCTGCCTCGGGGCGCCCTGCGTGGTGCCTGCCAATTTCGAGCTGCAGTGGATTCTGGGCCAGTCACTGGCAGGTGCGGGCGGGCAGGTAGCAGCACTAGCTGGCAAGCACCACCGACTGAGGTTGGTAGAAGCAGTGAGAAACAGGGCAAGCAACATCGAGTCGGACCAGACAGGACGAGGTCGGGCACAGCAGCAAAAGAGTGCTGACCACAACCTCGGATGCAACATCTCCAGGGACACAAGAGAGAAGACATCGAACCCCCTCCCCCCAACCCGTTCCACTGCATTTTCTGCTCGTTGGTCAGCCTCGTCTCCGACATGACGCAGATGAACACCCAAATGACTACCCAGGCTTCAATGACTCCCACCAAGGCCCGGCGTCCAGACCGCCCCAGGCCTGCGCTTTTCGGCTTCAGCAGCATCTTGCCGATGGAACCTCCTGAACTGCCGGCCGCCTGTGACTCCTTCAACTCGAGATTCCGCCTTCCATTTCGGCCGCCGAGACCGAAGCCTGTTTCCATCGACGCCCGTAGCTCCGAGAGTCGGGCTCCTGCCCACCCCGGCATCGTCTCCGGAATACTAAGCCACCCCCGTCGGTTCCATATTGCGTCTTTTTCGCCGATGACTCCCGACCGAGCGCCGTTTTGACTCCAGGGCTTTGCTTCCATGACCATGGTGCCGATCCAATTGACCGCGACCTTATGCTTTCGTCGCTTGGCCGCGCCGTCGTCAGACCGCCCGACGCTTAGCAACCAGGGCAGAAAACCTGATGCGAAGCGTGCCAGTGGCGGAGAACCCAATTCGACCACCCACCACTTTGCCTTGGCAGTACCCTCAGACCATGTCACGTCGCCAACTTGAGGCCCCAAAAGACCGGCCGGCGATGCCAGGTGGGGAACTGTCCTATTCCGGATTCGGATCCAGGGCGTCGCTCACATGTGTATGACACATGCATCAAACCATTTTTGCTTGCTACGCTGCTACGAGGCCTCATAAGATCAAGGCCCTCAAACAAATATCGAGCAGCGTCGCCGACATTGCCGCATACATGCAAGAAAGAGGTCAAATCGTGCTCCGCTCATGATCGGCCCCAATAGCGAACAAGACGCCAACAAACACCAACGCGGACATCGTCCCCCAGAGACATCAGCAAGCACGAAAAGTCGTCAGTCAACAGCGTCAATCATTGCGACAACCGCGCTCCACCAGTGATCTTCGAGGGAGAACATCTAGGCATCCTTATTCTCGAGTCGCAGCCGTGAGCGACCCGGAGATTCGGCAACAGCCCCCCCTGTCGCCTGCGACGACATACTAGGCAGCAGCAAGCCAGAGCCCTCATCTTGTGTCGTCGCCAGGATTCTCACCCATCGATATCAACCTCAGGACTGCTTTTCTTGGCACAATCCTCCTTGCAAGAGAACGCAGGTACTCTCATGAACCAAAGAAACAGATCGGCAGCCAAGAAACGCCCCCTAGCTATCAATCCCACACACACGCCTTAGAAAATCAAAATGGCACACCCTTCAGGCCACAACTCACCCACCACAACGCCGACCTCACCATCACTACATTTGAGTGATCTCATTCCCATCATCCGTCACTTCTCGCCAGCCGCTTCGCCAAGTGCATCCGATAGCGAGGGAGACAATCGCCAAAACAGGAAGAAGAAAACCCGCAAGCACCACCGCACATTCTCCCCCTTTGGACTCTTGCACAAGAAGGATGATGACCAACCCAAAGTGTCCTTGGACTGGCTCGTTGAGACACCGCCAGTCATGTTTCACGATGATGCCTCTCGCTCCGCCGGCGCTCTCTTCACGGGCATGATGCACTTGAATGTCGAGGAAACCGTCCAGGTTGACAGCTTCCAGGCGTCGCTGCAACTGCATGTTCACCAGAAGAGGCCCTTTGCAAAGCATTGCACCGAGTGCTCTGATCAGTACACGGAACTGAAGCACTGGGATTTTCTTCCTAAAGCTGTAATGCTGACCCCCGGCCGACACGCGTACCCATTTTCCATCCATTTACGGGGCCACAACCCTGAAAGCATCGACACGCCAGTCGTTTCTATATCATACGAGTTCAAGGCTCAGATCCACTGCGCCGGCTTCCACCCCCTAAGCTTTGAGAGGGACATCCCAGTCAAGCGATCCCTCCTCGGCTCAGATCCACTGCACCAGTCCATGCGCGTGTTTCCGCCAACAAATGTGAAGGCTACTGTGTTCCTGAACCGCGTCATTCACCCAAGTGGCACCCATAAAGTGCAACTGCGCCTCGACGGTATCACTAGCCTTGAGGGCAAAAGCTTGGAGATCTGGAAGCTCAAAAGACTTGCGTGGAAGCTTGAAGAGACGGTCTGCACTGCCGCTCCGGCCTGTCCTAGTCACGCCGCGGAAGGTGCTAGTACGGACCAGTTGACCGTCAGACGAAACGAGGCACGGATCTTGGGCGAGAAGGAAATGCACGGGGGTTGGAAGAGCGATTACAACACCAGCGATGCTCGCGTCGAGTTCGAGTTTGAGTATGGGCTTACAACGAGACACACCCGCAAAGGAGATGCAATGTACGCTTGTGATGTCCGAGCGACTGCCAATGGCACTGGCACCGAAATCTCGCACTCGCTCTCTATCGAGATGTTGTTATCAAAGGAGCTTGCGTCTTCGGATATTCCCAACCTCGTATTAGCGACGAGCGACGCTCGGGTCCTCAGGATGCGGCACGCCGTGATCCTCACCGAGGCACCTGGTCTCGGTGTGGCTTGGGATGCGGAGCTGCCGCCCGTCTACGACGATGTGCCGCCAAGCCCGCCCTCATATCCCAAGGACGCTCCTGTTGAGTATGAGAATCTGGAAGTCCTGGATGAGCAGGAGAGGCGCCCTAGTGTGGTCAATAGTGAAACGTCCCTTCCTTCAGCGTAGGATTCGAATAGCGATCCTCTTTCTTAATGATAACTATAATGAATGAAATTCAGCAAGATTCCAGGAAGCTTTTTGACAAGTTCCATCTGAGGAAGCAGAAACTCTTCGCCTTTTTAATCTGAGAAAAGTGCAACCCAGAATCATCTCAAGCGACGCATAACATTCGTTTTCGGTTAGATCTAATATCAAGCCCCCCCCCCTTCCCACTGATCACTCAGAAGCTGCGGTAGGTTGATTTTCGCAGCTAAAAGGGCATCCACATTTGACTCCCTAAGGCTCAGGGGGGTTCAACCAGGTCTTCGGCCGTGTCATGGCCGGATCAACATCTCGAACCCCCATCTTCATCTCGGTTACCATTCACTCGGCTCCTGCAACGGCACTTATCTTCTAAAGCTACCAGAATTGAGTCCAGGGATGATGCAAGTCTTTCAAAATCCTGCTGGGATACCCGGGCAGACTATCTTGTTAACCATGCTTGCTGCCCTCGAGTCGTGCTGCGCGCAGCTCGCCACCGCAGCTGAGGAGGTCTTACCTCTATGGTCTGATAACGGGACCTTGCCATATTGCCGTGCGGGGGCTATGTGGCATCTCTTTCGGGAGGCCTATCCGATACGCAGGGCCATGAGTATTGCCAGATGCTTGTGCCGAATGCCACTATTGGTCGCTAGGGGAAGGGAGGCAAGGAACTAGATCGATGAGACGGTCATGGCATGGTGAAGAAACCGGGCTAGGGTATGACAGTTCCTGCGTGTACACCTTGTGACAGCAACCCATCCTGCCAAGAAGAGTTTCAAGGGCTTCCGGATTGGATGAAAAGCTCAAGATTGATCTGGA